TATTATAGAAATCCCCCTATAGATTTGGATTGATCTGATTGGAAACGATTATTGTTGTCATGCCAATCAAACCTAAAATGAGTTTGTTATTGCCGAAGTGACAGACACAGACACGTTACTGTCATTTACGATTCAGTGGAATTGCCACAATGTGATCAAAAACTCCCAGCTATAGGGATGCGATACAAATGCGTTATTGCTAACGAAGTCTAAAGAAAAGTATGGGAAGCTATACACGCGTTTTATTGAATGGTGCAACAATAAAGAAATCAAAATACCGAATAAAGAAGAAGTATTTTTGGCCTATTTCCTAGTAGAAGTGTCTGAAACCTAGAGACCGTTCACCTTATGGGCCTGCTGGCTTCCGCAATGAACCTATACATAATGCGTCAAACTGTAGGTTCACAATAGCTATTACTAATAATCAGTAGATAGAGAATATATTTCTCTTGTTAGTTGTTCCTATATGAATGAATAATTAATTGAACAAATCAATCAATTTCCTACGCTTGTAGAAAAAATATTGTTCCTAACTCATGCGGAAAGTGTCTTTCACGCACTCGACTGCTTGCGTGCGGCAGTCGCGTGCGGGAAAGAATCACTTTCCGCACTTGTTAGGAAAATCACTATTTTCTGTGATGGGAAAAAAGTTTAAAATTTCATCTCTGTTGACAGGTTATAAAATGTCACTTTTCATAAATTACTCTTCCTATAGGAAAAAAGTGACTACTTTTTTCCCGGATATACAGGGTGTCAATTTGAAAACTTCCCACCCTTAATATCTCCCTTCAAGTGAATAATATGCAAAAACGAGAAGACAGGTCAATTTTATTTTCAGGGGGGACACTTTGAATGAATATTTTTCAACCTCATGGGTCAACCCCCTAGGAGGGGTAGATGTTACCCTCAGAATATGAATAGGTAAGGGGGTCAAGTGGCACATCATTTTGAAGGGCGTTCAATTCTCTTTTCAACGGTACCATATTTTACTATTTTTTGATGAACAGTTTCTGAAAAATACCGTTCTGAACTCAGAAGTGATTAGAACTTGCCTTCACTCAGATGCATTGTTTTCAGGACAAAAATTATTGTTTTGAATTTCCCATTGATAAAAATGGTTAGAAGGTTAGGTGGCATCGTTACAACAGGAATAAATCTAGTCTACACGTTTGATTTTTTGTTTGTTGGTTATATACTTAAAAAAAAACTTTCAGAGTGCGAGATAGGAATTACAATGTTGTCCATTTTGTTCTAAACAGTAATTAAGTCTGTTTTCGAACTCATATCTAACATTTTGGATAACTTCACCACGAATTGAGCGGTATGCAGCTGTATTCGTCCTTTGAGTTCATCAATATCCATCGGTTGTGTTTTATAAATAATGGATTCAGATGTCCCTGAAGGAAAAAATCTAAAGGAGTCAGATCCGGTGATCTCGGAGGCGACTCAATTGCTCCCCTTCTGCCAATCGATTATCATTTTACCACTGTCGGACGAGAAGAAAATAATGAGGTGCACCGTCTTGCTGGAAATGTAACAGATCCTCCTGCAAAAGTGAATTATTATCTGCATCAATTTGATTTTCTAGTTATAAGAGGATCGATAGTATCTTCAAGCATATCTAGGTACAGATTGCCAGTCAAGTTTTCTTCAATAAATAAAGGACCAACAATGGCATTTCCAAGAATACCAGCCCAAACATTAATTTTTTGTGGTTGTTGTATATGTCCTTCTCGAAAAATGTGAGGGTTTCGTCACTCCAATAGCGACAATTTTGTCTATTAACATTTCCATTCAGAAAAAATGAGCATTCATCGCTGAAACAGATATTTAGCAATAGATTAGGGATGGCATTGACTCGATATGACATCGTTTCACAAATTTCTATTCTATCATAATCATCCTCATGGAGCTCTTGAAGAATCTGCATCTTATATGGATGAAATTTATGTAATTTCAGTGCTTTTCTTACAGTCTCGTGTGACATTCCCGTCTGTTCTGCCACTGACCGTAAGGAGCTAGTAGGTTCTGCAGCAAATGTTCCCAAAACTTCAATTTGAGCTTCCTCATTCAGTACTCTAGAATTATTCCTTTTTTTATTTTTCACAGAACCAGTTTTGTCAAACTTTCCCACCAAATCAAATACCGGCGACTAACATTACAATTTGGTTTTCTTTCGTTGAAAAGAAATGCCGCCCTTCGTGCGCACTTTCCAGCCCCTCCATGAATCACAATCATTTCAGTTCTTTTAGAAAGAGTGTAAACCATTTCCACAATTCATACTCTGAATAAAGGTATTACTGAACAGCTCAACAAATAAAACTCAATTTAATACTACCAAATCGTTTAAATTCTGCCGAACAATTTTTTGCTCAAAAAACGTAGTTTTTTTTAAATCAGCAGTAGCAAAAAAGGAAGGCCATCTGTAGAATGAAAAATCCAATGATAAACGCAAATAAGCTACCATCGAAATATCACTATTAGATTACTTATTGATGTTGATTTATTGGAGCTAATGGCTAATAATGTTGCCCCTGATGGAAAGATGGAAAGTTGTTACCTAATTACCTACTGAAAGGAATATCAATACGATTATCTCTGTTTAAATACTAACCTGAAAATCATGCATCTCAGTGCAGGCAAGTTTAGATCACTTCTGTAGGTTTAGAACGCTATTTTTCAGAAACTGCTCGTCAAAAAATAGCAAAGCTGTTGGAAAGAGACTTGAACGCCCTTCAAAATGATGTGCCACTTGACCCCCCTTACCTATTCATATTCTGAGGGTAACATCTACTCCTCCTAGGGGGTTGAACCATAAGGTTCAAAAATATTGAATCAAAGTGTCTCCCTCGAGAATAAAATCAACATGTCCTTTCATTTTTCCATATTATCGACTTGGAGGGAGACATTGAGGGTGGGAAGTTTTAAAATTGATACATATATATACAGGGTGGGTCACGGTAGATGGCACCTTAGACGTTTACGGAGAACGGGACATAAGATCATTCTGAAAATTTGGTTACTCAAGTAATTGCTCTTGATCTATCGATCTAAAATATTTTCAGCTCTGCGGCGTTGCCGCTTCTATCGAAAAGTAGCAACAACTTTGTTATTTTAAATGGAACACCCTGTATTTTATTGCATCTTCAGATTCTCTCTGAAGAGCTGATTTCATCGATATATCACACTTGGGGTCTAGCGGAAATGATTACAGAGATATAGGGTGTGAAAAATCGACATTTTTCAACTTAAGGAATTTTTTTTGTCGAAACTATTCATTATTGGTCAAAACGGCTTACATGTCCCTATCTCAACTTTTGATTAACTATCTACTGATATTTAATTGGGACATATACCGGGTGATCAAGAATCTGAATTCTGCACCACCCTGTATTTGTTTCAATTAAATGTCGGTAGATAGTTGATCAAAAGTTGGGATAGGGACATGTGAGCCGTTTTGACCAATAATGAATAGTTTCGACAAAAAAAATTCCTAAAGTTGAAAAATGTCGATTTTTCACACCCTATATCTCTGTAATCATTTCCGCTAGACCCCAAGTGTGATACATCGATGAAATCAGCTCTTCAGAGAGAATCTGAAAATGCGATAAAATACAGGGTGTTCCATTTAAAATAACAAAGTTGTTGCTACTTTTCGATAGAAGCGGCAACGCCGCAGAGCTGAAAATATCTTAGATCGATAGATCAAGAGCAATTACTTGATTAACCAAATTTTCAGAATGATCTTATGTCCCGTTCTCCGTAAACGTCTAAGGTACCATCGACCGTGACCCACCCTGTATATATATACTGTTTATGGCTTTTGTTGTGCTATAGTTCCGAAAAATAAGCCCATGGCGCCGTATCCGAGAAAGAACTGCAAGTCCTTTCATCTTCCATTCGACTTCGAGGTTACGTAAATTATTTTTTCGGCAACCGTCAGGGAAGTGTTCATTTCCCGGACGCTTTTTCTTTGAGGAGATAGCATTTCTCCAGACTAGGCTGGGAAGTATCACATCGTTGTTGTCACTGTAACTATGAAAATCTTCGTAGATATGGTTTTGATAAATGCAGATGATAATTACCGTAGCAGCGAAATATCGGCTGACAGCTATTTGACATGAAATTAGTTGGCATTTTGATTTTGAAAGTTTGGTTGCAATTATCGCAATAAACTATCGAAAGCAGCTGCGATAGTGATTTTGAAAATGTCCATACGAAATTTCCAATGTAACAGTCAGTAGGTGTAGGTTCAAATTTCATTATTTGATACAAATGAGAATTAATAAAGAAGAAATTGTATTCTACCAAGAAATATAATATGGCTCGGCCTAGAATTTTGTCCACTCGTCCAAAAAAACGGTATTTTCCGGACTTGTTACGTAAATTACTATGACAACCTCTAAATTCGAACTTTTTGAAAATCGAATCACAGAATTAGACTGACAGATATTTGATTACTTCAAACGAATGATAAAGAATGAAGGTGCATCAAACGCAGGTGTCAGTACTGTTAAAAACTTCAAATTTCACGTCGATAATTTTATGATTTTAATATAATGTAATATCTTCTCAATATTGATTCGTCCTTTTTCCTGTCACAGAGAAAAATAGTGTATTATACATGGGAAAAATATTAGATTTTAGCTCACGGTTTTTTACCCCTCTCGGGAGACAACACAACCTGGAGCTAAAGTCTACTATTTCTTTTCCTTGTATAATAAATAACTATTTTTTATTGCATATTATTCTCAATACAGTCCTTCCAACCCTAAACCCGACTAAAATAACCTACATATTTATTATAAAATAAATATCATAAACTCATCACATTTTGATACACTCATTATCTGAATATGTTTCATTGACTGGATTTTGTTTAGAATAATTATTGTTAAGCGAACAAAAATGCACCCTTCAGAATTCAATAATGAGAATTGGTATTCTGATGATGAACTTGTTTCAGTCCATTGAACAATGATGATTAATTTTTTTTTCAGGGAGGCAAAGAGTTGATTCTTGGTACAGCGCCAATTCTCGCAAAAGTGCTTACTTCTCGGCAACCGGTACCACATACGCATCCACGGCTGACAGTGGTGCAGGAGACCCTGCACCTGGAAGTAAGCCAAGGATATATGGCCCAGCTTCCCAAATACCTGGTTTGCCAGCACCTCTGCCTCCTACCTGGAAATGCATTTCTGGAAGGTTTGTTATGGTACACGCCTCCTACCAGAGCCATCTAGGTGAAGACTGCCTATTCGCACCTGACGCTCGACTTAACGACGAAAAGATATGGTTGTTGATAGTTCATGATGGAGCCAGCAGATCTCAATTGTTGCATTTTCTGCTGGGGCTCAGTACGGGAGCCCACGCTACTTCCAAATCTCAAAACGGTCTCGTGGAATTCTTTCCTGTGAACGCATTCAGGATAGAGCCTGACATGTCCGAGTCGGGATATATGACAGTTGATGGTGAACTAGTCACTTACGGGCCGATCCAGGCTGAGGTTTTTCCTTCTCTGGGTAGAATAATGGTTCCCTGATCAGAACATTCCTCTACTCATAACGGGAGTTTTGTTAACAAATCAAAAGTTGTGATTTTATCAAGTCTTGAGCCTTTACTGCTCAGGCTTGACAGTATTTAGGCCTTTTTCTGTGATTGCCAAACGTACTCCAAAGTGTAATTAGTTTTTATTATATTATAGGGATAATCTATAAGCGGGAACGAAGGTCTTAATAATAATGTTTCTAGACCCAAGTGGTAGTATAATTGCAATATAATTCACTCAATACAGAGGTTATGGAGTGCGTCAGCAGGGACCCAACCGATTTCTTTAGAAACTCGTTCGAGGAGTTGAAGAGTCAACATACTGAAAGTGCTGACGTCTAGAAAGTGAGCCGGAGGAACAGGAAAGTTAGTTCAGTAAACGAACGAAAAATAGAGGAAAAAAATCGTGTAGTCGCAAATTTTTGCAGAGTGGCAGGGGAAAGTGCCATGAACAACATACTAAAAGTCCTGACCCGTAGGGGATGAGCGCGATGGTGGGGGAGCGTTCTAAGGTCATTTTATCAAGTTATTCTTGAATAATTCGAAAATCGCGACCTCTAGCGGAAAAATATAAGTATACAAAATTGAAGTAAATGAAATTTTTAATAAAAAAGTTCCTTTTCACTTATTGTCCACAATGGATAGGTTCTGAGATACAGGAGATGAAAAAATCGAGAAGTATCAAAAATAGAGTTTAATGGTATGGAATTGGTGTTTAACTTGAATATTAACAGAAAAAATACATTACTCATTGAGAACAGACATAATTGAATGAATACGTTCTAATAATATCAACAATTAATCATCATCTTCATCGTCATTTTCCACATCCAGTAACGGTGCACCGTTCGTACACGTACCATGGCACATGCCGCACACCATGGAGCATGGAATTCCAGCTTTCCGACAACCACATCGTCCTCCACATCCAGTAGAACATCGGCAGAATATGCTGTTCAGTATCGCTTCAGGTGCTATTGGATCTCTGGTTGTCACTGGAATGAGCGATCCATCCTCTCCTCTGTTCCACCCCCACTCAGTCGGGGGTAGAGGATTGTTGAGCCATTGCTGTACCTGTTGAAATATAACCAATAAATATTATTGTAGAGGCATGATACGGATTGGATTGAATTATTATACCTGTAAATAAACTCTGAATGAGTGTTGTTGCGCTGCTCCTATGGTTGGTGGCAGTGAGGCGAGATTTGGTTTTGGCTTTGTTGATGCATTCAAGAATGCAGCATACCGAAGTCTATTCAGATCCTGTTGATCTGCAGTCACTTGGTACATTTCTAAAAATATTTTCTCGCCAGCCTGTGTAACCTTGTCTGCTTGTGTCGTGGGGTTGGTGAAATACTGCACCCACAAAGCAGCGGTAGGCCCATTCTCCTTGACATTATTCAGCTGATTCTTGAATTTATGAAAAATTGAATCTAACCAAGGATCTTCCCCAATCTTTCGTACAGTGATATCTTCGATATTACTCAAAATGCTGAGTCCCTTCTTTTCTTGTTCTGAGATGCTGGCTCCTTCCAGAATAATCCAAGCTGAGACAGCTTGAATGAGTCCTCGAACGGCTCTGCTGTAAGCATGTCCAGTTAGGATCTTGTCAACTGAATTTGTAGCATAAACAAGGCATAATACTTCTTTCAGTTCCGACCCTGCCATTGTGTGACCAATGCACCCCATGAACGACATGAGTTTATGCTACCAGTCCTTATTTTTATAGTAAAAGCCATCATTTGATGAGAAGCAGTCTATAGGTATACATTTCATGAAACGCAGGACAATAGTGACACAACAAACATGAATTGCATATCAGTAAACTATTTTTTATACTTTTCGATTTTTGTTTCCCCTGTATCTCAGAAACTATCCATTGTAGACAACAAGTGAATAGGAACTTTTTTATAGAACATTTTAAGTAGTCCAATTTTGTATACGTATATTTTTTCGCTAGAGGTCACGATTTTCGAATTATTCAAGAATTGATTGAGAAAATGACCTTCAAACACTCCCCCACCATCGCGCTCATCCCCTACGGGTCAGGACTTTTAGTATGTTGTTAATGACACTTCCCTTTACCACTATACAAAAATTTGCGACTACACGATTTTTTTCCTCTATTCAGCCTTTTTAAGTGTTCGTTGATTGAACTAAGTAAGAAGGTTCCGCTTTTGGGTTTATCACTTATATGTCAGAAACGGTTCGTCGTAACAAAAAATTTCTCAATATCAAATGAGAGCTGATTAAAATCTTCACAATATTTTTCTTTCGTTTTTGAGCTGCACGCTCCGGAATGTGGACATTTTGGAATAAAAAAATATCCCGTTATTCATGTAACACGACACGTCTGAAATATTGGTTTCCGACCAGAAATTTTGAAGAGAATCTAATTTCCTTCAAGAGTATAATATGTACATTATGCGAATTAGCCTCTTCTTTAACTGGTTAACAGGTAAGTACAGTCATTTTAAGGATTTCCGTAAATTTAGTAATTTTTAAAAGAAGAGTTTTTGGCATTCCTGAGCCACAAAAAGTATTGTTTGTTACAGCTGTGTATATACTAATGTGTTGTCACAGAACAGTTCACTTCATGCAGTAGACGAGAATAATTTGGAAAAATGTATTATAAAAATAATTTTGAAAATCCTTTCGTTCAATGTCCTCATTCTTAATTACTTGATAATGGGCCTGTTTCAGTGAAAAACTTTATTTCATTATTTTGAAGTACTAACCCTAACTAGTTCGCTGTCGCAAACAGTTTTTTCCTCAGAGCACTGTAACTTTTTTATATAATTATTGAAATTCACGATATCTCATAACATGAAAAACGCGGGAAAACGTGATCATCCGACAACACCATATAAGAGTCGACTTACGTATCAATGCTCTATTTCTGATAGACAACTACAAGAATATTTCTGATTGTCATTTCAATCAGAATATGGAATGTAACTTCTGGATTGAATACTTACTGCAGATAACAGACGAAAGAATCACATAATATGAGGATTATATTTGAATATTCGCATCTTGACAAGATGAAACAAGGATTTGACGATGAAGATAACAGCCGATATTAACGTCAGGAAGTTAGATCGAGAATGTAGTTTGTCTTCTTCTTTTTTTTGTATTTCTGGGAACTTAGGCATTACACTGTCCCCGCGCCACAAAATAATCTTGGATTAAATAAAATCTCGATCAGTATTAGGAATACTAGGATATTTTTATTGGTACTGAAGCATCTTGCAAGTATTCAATAAGTGATTATTAGGGACCAGGTCGAACTATTGTCTTCTGTGAATGGGAATACTATTGTCCTTGGTCATAATAAATCTCATAAGGTGATTACCAGTTACAAAATATGTGATCCTACTTTTCATGCGAAAGCCAGAATTCGGTTCATGACGTCATCGAACCTGGTGTTTCTCTCGAAGTCGTCGAATTTCATTTTTATAATGATTTTAAATAACAAATGATTGCATCAAATACTATTTATACACGGAATGATCAATATAATATAGGTGTGTGGCGTGAGGGTCCTGGCAAAGTGTCTTCGTTCACGGCATCGTCATTCTTAGTGTCATCTTCGTCGTCGTCGTCCTCATCAAGAGGCACGCCGCGAAACAGTTCAGCATTGCTCGGCAAAATATCGTTTTCAGTAAGACCTCTGGTGCTGGTGAATCTTCGTTTCAATTAGCGCCAGGGTATCTCCTGCATATTTTCAACTTCATTCTTGAGGTGCAGCACATTCCTGAGTCACTGGTGAACTTCGCGCCTAAAATGCTTTTTAGCTGCGCTTTCAGTTGGTGGATGGAAGCTAATTATTCGCCACTGACCTGACTGCTTGAAAGAGGTCTGTCTTGCTGGTGCCCTATAAGATTTGAGGGAGCTCATTTTTCCCACCTTTTCAACCTCCATGTGATGAGAGATGGTTAATGATCACTGCAGCATCCAATAATCATCAATCATTAATTCCAGATTTCAAGTACAATTTTGAAAATTCCATCTTGTGTAATAAGATGAAGATTATCAAGATCTAACTTTATTAACTGCCTGACGTTCAACACCGATGTCAACTGACAACTAACATCATCTCCATGAATACAGGGTATCCATTATTCAAGTATGAGATAATACTGTTACATCCCCCATTATACAAAATTGAGCAACTATCAATAATATACATTTTAAAATTCTTCAATGAATCTTCTTGGTTTGCGAACCTCCCTTCTTGGCCTGACTTCAGTTTCTGAAGGTTTTTCATTTTCTTCGGTTGTAATGACTCCTCTTCCGGAAGACTCAGCTGAAACGTTCTGATCTGGTGGAGTGCTTCGAGTAATGAAATCATATGAGTGATCTTGCGAACACCTAACGATGGGATCAGGATTCACAGTAGGTGTATCATATTCATCTATAGCTGTACTTTTCCTAAGATGTTTTGTGTTCCTTTCCAGAGTCTGTCCTTTGATGTTGGTCTCGATGACAAAAGATCTAGGTCTCCTTGCTTCTCGTATGATTTCTGCACCTATCCCCTTCTTAGGCCCTTCTTGCATGACTACTTGATCTCCTACGTGCAAGTCATTTCTAGATTTACAATTTTTATCGAAGTAATGTTTTTGTTTTAGTCGCAATCGCGTGAGTTCTTCTTGAATGTCCTCATTCACTCTTGGTTCAAGTGCATAATCAACCGATGGTAACATATTTCTAGTTACCCTACTAAAGAGTCGTTGAGCCGGAGATCCAAGATTATCATTTCTTGGCGTATTTCTTTGATTGAGCAAAGCTTTGTAAATATCGGAATTATCTTCGTACTGTTACATCTTGCTCCTCCTGAACGTTGCAGATGTTGTGTCGCAGCCGGTAAAAAAATGTGAGAACAGGATTCGTGGTTTTTCCTTGCTTGGGTTTCAGCAGCAGCATGTCTCGGGTGGTAGAAGTTTCAGCAATCAAAAGAACAGCGAGATAGTGTTTTCCATTTGAAAAAAAACGGGTTTGTGGTTCATCATGCTTTTGGGATCACCATGTGAAATGTCTGATAAGATCCGTGAAAATGCCCATCGCGGCATTCAACTTCCACATCTCTTTTTTTGTGAAAAATAACGTGAGCTTATTCGATAGATAACCCAGTACATACATTATTGAAGAACATTCAAATCCCTGCAACATTTTCGACGGACTTTCTCTGAAACAATATAAAGGTTG